AGCAGGAAAATATCTTTCTTTTTTAAAATAGATAAATATTCAAACCTGATTCTTGCCATACCAAATAACGTGTTTAATCTTCCTGTAAGTCTGTAACAGTCTCTCTTGAATCTGTAAGACTTGTTTTGATTGTGTATTTATGCAACAGGAAAGTTTCAGATTGGTTACCTAGTCAGGTAACCTCTAGCATTCTTGGCTGTCTTAGGCTGGGCATCTAATAATTTCAACGGTTCTTATACTGTATTATAGTTTTGAATCTTTGGGCACAAAGATTTACCAAAATACAGACAGGATTGGTTACTTACTTTTAAAGTTATGCTGATTTCCAAATGGGCTATGTTGTTGGTTTTTTAGCATCACTGTTAGAGATGGCTCCAACTTCAATCGCTAGCATAGCTGCTGCTGTGAAAGTCATCGTGTGGATAGCTGAAGACCCTCTTGGCATGGATATGTGTGTTCCGTGCTGATGGTTAAGTCGCAGAGCTGCTTTTGGGCTTTGGCAGCCTGTCCAGTGTTATTACTCCTTGGCATGACAGGGGAAGGATCACATCGTTAGGAGTTCATGGTTGATGACGCAAATGACATGAAGTCAACCCTCACCGTATGTATAAGCTATATTTGACCTTCAGAGTGTCCTGAAGGGCAGAGAGGTACAAGATTAGCTCTATATACCATTTAGATTTCTTTCCTTCTTGGTTTTTGGTTTTGTTTTTTTAAACCAAACATCTCCTTTTGTTCCTTTCCTGAGAACATGAACAGTACCTTCGAGTTCATAGAGTTAGGAAAGCCTCCCTATTGCCACTGGTGATGTGCTGGCCAGAGTACAGCTGAATTGATCTGAAGGACAAACAAGCGTGATCTGGCACTGATGAATGAGCTCTGCCAAATGCTGCTTGCTGTGTGCTGCTGCAGGGTGGGAGAAGGGAATCTGTAACTGTACAGACTCTGGTGTCTGGGTGTAAAGAGCTGGCAGAGTTGACTTAATGCTGAAACACAGACTTTGTGCCGAATCTAAGACCTATTTTCCCTTGATAGCTTTCTTATTGCCTAGTGATTGCAGAAGAGGGGCAGAGTGGGAAACTGATAGCGATTTACAGTGCCACAGCAGGGTTTGCCTTTTCCCTTTCTGGTAGATGGACGGTTTTCTCTATTTGGCAAACGTTAGAAAACACAATCTGGTTTGTAAGCAAACTTTTAGGGGGGAGATTGTCCTAGAAAACAGCATGGAATCTCAGTGGCTGTTCCTTAGCTTTGCTTTAAGAATCTATCCATCTTGAACCATTTTCAAGTATATAACAGGGTTCTCGCTAATCTCATTTTCCTAGCATCAATTTCCAGTTTGAATAATTATCACTGCATTTTCAAGAGGACTTTAGAAACCATATTTCACAGAATCACAGAACAGTTGAGGCTGGAAGGACCTCTGGAGATGATCTAGTCCAAACCCCCTGATCAAGCAGGGCCACCTAGAGCAAGTGGCACAGGATCACGTCCCGACGGCTTTTGAATATCTCCAAGGATGGAGACTCCACAACCTCTCTGGGCAACCTGTGCCAGTGCTCAGTCACCCTCCCAGGAAAGGAAGTTTTTCCTCATGTTCAGACAGAACTGCCTGTGGTTCAGTTTGTGCCCGTTGCCTCTTGTCCTGTTGCTGGGCACCATGGAGAAGAGTCTGGCCCCATCCTCTCGACACCCTCCCTTCAGATATTTAAACATATTCATAAGATTCCCCCCTCAGTCTTCTCTTCTCCAGGCTGATTTATAAATCCATTTCTCCAAACCATGCATCATGTTTCCGCTGCAGCCTTTGTGCTTAGGCACATAGCTGCCATTAGTCTAAACCAGAATTACTTTTGTGTTTTGCTCATCAGTAGAAAAACGTCCGTGTGTTCACTGTCTCCGACATCTATTACCCCTATTGAATACACTCATTCAGAGTAGAGCAATGAACTTTTCTTGCTTATTTTTCCCCATAAATATCTGAGATTACTAGTTAAAACTGTTCATCACTCATTCTTTTTTGTTTTGTTTTTTGTTTTAACAGAATCTAACCTATTATTTACTCATTTCAGTGCCTGCATGCTGCTCAGCTCGCTACAATTTAGCGCTGCTGGCCTTTTTTGGATTCTTCCTTCTGTATGCCTTGCGTGTGAACCTCAGTGTTGCTCTCGTGGATATGGTAGAACCTAACACAAGCTTAGCAAAGAATACAACTTCCAATGTGTGTCCAGAACATTCCTCTACTATCAATGTTCCTCGCAATACGTCGGTAAGGTCTCAATTATATTCTTCTGAAATGTAACTTTTAAAGTTGTTTTTAATATAACTCTGATTAATGACTCATGGTTAGGTAGCAAGAGACCTGCTTGCTCTTTAGTAGGTAACCTTTTCAGAATGCATACTGGTTCTCTTAGAGATAGTCTGAAAATGATGCTTTAAATGATTAGCTGATGTAGAAATGCTGTGCTAACGGTCAAGTTGTTTTACGTACATCCGTACTCTACTATCCTTTACAAATTGGCTAATCTGACCTTATAGGTCTAATATGACTCACTGTTTTCTATGCCTGTGACTGACTGTTACTATTATATCTGCGTCAGAGCTCGCATCAGTGCCTGTATTTGTCTGTCTGGTTTTCATACAGTCTTGATGGCATGAAATTTCAGTACACATTACCTAACATGCAGTATCTTTCTTCTCAGTTCTTTGGTCTCTTTTACATTATCATGGTTCTTGTCTTATGTCCTTCATTTCTTGATTTCCCTTCCAGTAATCCTTAAAATCTCATTCTCTAACTGAACAGGACTTGTTGGATGTGAAAAGATGCTTTTCGCCTTATAACTGAATTTTATTACTGAGCCCTTTCCCCCTGTTCCTGCCTTTACTTTGCTTGTTTAGAGGTCATTTATTATTTATCATGATTAAAGTATAACTGTAAACTGTTTGGGAAGAAGATTATCTCATCACTTCTGTGAAATGTATGCTCATTTAGATGCCCATAAATAATGCTTTTGGAAGTGATCCCATCCTTCCTAATCAATTTCTTCAGAAACAGCTGGTATCCTCTTGCTCATTTCCCATACAGCTTCAGGCTTCATATCTCTGTCATCTTTACTTTTATTGCTTTGTCCGCTAAACGCCTCTTCCCTCGTCATGCTTGTCCTCTTCTTTGACCTATCTTTGTGAATCATCTCCTTGGCTGCTCTCTTTATCTAATTTAAGTGTCTCCATCTCTCTGCTTTATTTTTCTCTCCAATAATTTTCCCTGTATCTGTCTCTTTTCTTTAGTGGTACATAGAATGGCAACGCTGTGATACAAGTGTGGGATTCACACTCGTGTAGGCACATCCCAGTGGTCAGTACCTACGTCACCTAACCCAGGTTGCTTGGAATTCAGCACGGAATAACTGCCCAAGCATTTATTTAATATTGTGATGTTTTTCATGCTCAGGCTACATATGTCTGTACAGACTGCAAACTGTTTGAATTAGCTTTCAACACAACTCTAACTGCAGTATATATGCACGTAAAGGAAGACACTAGGGAGGACCCTATAAAAGAGCTGCAATTTAGTCATAAAGGGCTAAGGGATGGATCAAAGTCATATTTAATATAGCCAGAGAAACTGCTATTTTGAGCTTATTGCATCTCAGGTTTTGTTTTCTCTTTTTAGGGGAAAAAATATTCTTGGGATGCTGATACTCAGGGATGGATCCTTGGTTCGTTTTTCTATGGCTATATCATTACTCAGATTCCAGGTGGATATCTTGCCAGCAAAATTGGAGGGAAGCTGTTGCTGGGGTTTGGCGTCTTTGGTACTGCTGTCTTCACCTTGCTTACTCCCTTAGCAGCAAATCTGGGAGTTGGCTATCTCATAGCTGTCAGAGCCTTGGAAGGATTGGGAGAGGTAATCCTTTTTCTGTTTACAACCTGAAAATGTGCCTGAACAATTTGTTAATAAATTGGACTGATCGGACTTTGCAGGTGGTGGTATACTTCTTGAAGTGTGTGGATTGCTTCAGTGTGAGTGGCTTAATTTTACTTTTTTGAATAGTTACAAAGTGTACCCTGTTTTGGGCCTAAGCTTTCTGAGTAAGAAAATAGATTTATTTGCAAGAACACCTGTAAAACGCAACTACAATTATCTTCTTTCTCTTTTGTCAGAAATTAGGAGCTCAAAACAATATTGTTTGCATTCTTGCAGCTTTTCCAGTGTATAGAGAATCAAAAGCAGAAGAGAAATTAATTTTGACTAATTACCCTCGCACTGGGAACGCATTTCATCAATTAGTTGTTGCTAAAGAAGAGATTAACAGATTGCACTACTGTTTTTAATTAAAAGTGTTTTGAAAAATGAGAACTTGAAGGGAGTTCTGAAATTGTCACACTTCAGCAGAATGAATGTTTGCTTTCCAGGGTGTTACCTTTCCTGCTATGCATTCGATGTGGTCGTCTTGGGCTCCTCCACTGGAACGCAGCAAGCTCCTTAGTATTTCTTATGCAGGTGAGAAATTCCCACGCTGATAACGGGATTATACATTTTTACTGCAGTAACAGGGAGGATTGACTTAAATCAAAGGGATTTCTATTACCAATTTTAATTGGGATTTAAACTGGAAAGCATAACATGGAATTAAAGCTTGTTTTTGCGTTTGTAATCTTCATTTTTTTTTCATAGTTTTGTAACCCTGATAAAAGATATTAATCTGCAACTAAGTATAAACTTCAGACTAAATTTGGTACGTTTTGCTGACTGAGATATGCACGGTATACGTTTACCTAACCATTACATGGTTCTGTGAAAGTACTGTGATTTTTCTTAGTTTTTTTATTAAGCTAGAAAATTGCTAGCTGTTAATTTTGCCAAATGTTCATTTTTACATTCTTGCGACTCTTTTCAAGTAGTATTTTGATGAAAAGTGGTATTATAAATGCTTGAAAAAGTACTAAATGTACTAGCTTTGTGTGTAAGAAAAAAGCAAGCTTTAAATGTATGTGGTCAACCGTGAAGGAGTTCCTGAACAGCAAGCTATTAGAATTTAATAGGTAACTTAAGATGTATTCTTGCATTAAAAAAAAAGACAATAACTGCCTTCCTTTTTTCCAGTCGGTAGCTGTGAAATAAAGAAGTTACGTTCTCAATGGCTATAACATTGTGATGTTTATAAAGCTCAATTTTATCTACAGAATTAGAATTTCTCTCTTGATCCTGTGTATGCAGTTGTTTGTTTTAAAACAAACACTTAAGTTGTGAAAATTTGAAGGGAATTGCAGTGTTTTTATTTTCATTTCAATATAGTAGATCTAAGCTTTGCACTATATTGAAAAACAATTGATTTAGTATTCTTTAAAGAAAAAGTATTTATTACAAATATAATCATTGAACATGAAAAATATTTTTGTTCTTCTGTGATATCATTTTGTATCTTCTACTGTTAAAGCAGTTTTAAGGTTATTTCCTAAACTGTGTCCTCTTAGTAACATTATTTACCACTATTATTTGCAATATTGTTTGGTATTTTCAAAATTTTCAGTAGGATAATCATTTCTAAAACTTCTCCTGGAAGAAGGAGAGAGATTTTTTTCGTACTGCTGTGTTCATGCACCGGAATGCAGTGTACTTCAGTTTTTCCATAAACCTTCATTCCTTTGGGGTTTAAAGTGATGTAGAAAATTACTATAAAGCTGTTTAATAAAAGATAGTGTGAATAAAGGAGACTTAGCAGTAGGAAGAAAAAAGATGGGGCAAAATCTTCAGGAAGGATTTTTTTAAAAAAAAAAAAAAAAACCCACAACCTGCTTTTGGAGGAGATCAAGGAAGAAAAAGTCCAAGGTCCCAGGCACTGTTACAAGAGCTGCTTTTACGTTTTTTCAGCTGTGCCACAAATAGATTTCTACATTCACTAGTCAAAATTGATACTCTTTCTTTAAAGAGGACAAATGTTGCCTTCAGTTAATGAAGTATGGCTTGTTTTACTCATTCTTGTTAGTGTTAATCTGTTACAATGGAATTAATGGCTCTTTTTAGAACTGGACTTTGTCCAGAAAACGGGCGATACCATGTAAACTAAGGCTACGGTTTCATAACCAGCTAAGCCAGTCTAATGGCTCACTTGTGCTAGAAGGAAGGAGGCCATAATCATTTCTTCCTCCCTTCTCCTTGCACGCTCCCACGCTCCCTTCTAGCCACCTGTCACATGCCTGCCTTTGCACTATCGCAGGCACTCATCAGACCCTTCCATGAGTCGCTTTAACCTACCTAATGCTGCAGGAAGTTTTGGGTTGTTTTTTTTTGGGGGGGGGAGGGGGAGTTAATCTCTTTTTTCTGCCTTATTAGTGAGTTAAATCTGCTTAAAAGTCTGCTTGTGAAAGCCAGCACAAGTAAAGCAGAGAACAGAGTTGGGATTGGCACCTGCTGCATTTAGCAACAGTGAGCACTGTGTCTTTGTATCTGGTGAAACCATATGCTAGTGTACAAGCAAGAAGAGACGGGGGCCCCGGATTGCCATTTGTTAGCAGACGTGGATGGATAAGCCATCTCTCCCAAATTTAGTGAAGTATTTGTTTTTTTCCCCACATTTCTCAGTTGACCGTCATGTGATCTGTGGTTTATTTAATCACATTGGTTGGGGATTTTTTTTTTGAGAACATTTGATCAAAGTTGCATGTAGTTGTTGTTTTGACTTGTATTTTGTATGAAGTATGTGGCTTTGTTTGTGGTTGAAGCTTTCTGCCCAGAAGAAAAATGATTGTTCCCATGAAGATGGCATTTCAGTCAGCATATCAAGATAATCTGCTGTTTTCCGAGTTGAGACTGGGTTTGGAAAAGTGATCATATAACTAACATTAAGAGACAAGGTGTACTATTTAATTAACACCAGCTGAGAGTTCCTAAGTATGTAGATAATATGGTTTGGGTTTCTAGTTTACATTAGTGGAAGAAAATCTGAACAACAAAATGTATCCTGAATCATAAACTCAGGAATAGCTCTTTCCAGCTTGTGACTTGTACCTGAACTGGACTCTACTGATCTTTCCCCTCCTCCTGGCCTGATCCTGCTCCACGCTGAGTTAAGTGAAGGCACATATAGAAGCGGTTGATTACTTGAGTGTCCTCTGGCTCTTGTGCCTCGCTCTCCTGCTCCTGTGGAGCTAGTAAGGGTTAGGAGCAATGAAAAGTGAAGACACCAAGTCAGGAAATATTTATTTCCCCCCCCCCCCCAAAGAACAAAAAACGTAATTGTACTGTGATCAGCTCAATCTTGTTTCCTCACAACGTCAGTTTGCTAAGCAGTACTGTTTTGAATATGTGTGTTTCTCATTCGATTTCATATTTAGGGCCACCGCTTTACTGGAAATTAGTAATGTGCCAAGAACTTCTGTATATTCTTTGCCCGCTCTCGTTGTTTTTTGCTTTTAATTTTATAATTGTGTGTAATTTAGTTTAGGGCTTTGAGTCCGTTTTTGTGGAGTTACCAAAGCAGCTCTTTTGTTCCTGTGTTACTTTAAGATGAAATGGCAGCCCTCTGCTGGTGGTAACAAGTATTTTCTGCATGATTTCTTACAGAAAAATAAAATGACTGTGACATGCTCTTTAGTTTAAGAGCTATATAGATGTGGTGGTTTTTTTTTTTTTTTTTTACTTTCTTCTCGTAGGTGCACAGCTGGGAACCGTTGTGTCTCTGCCACTGTCTGGTTTAATATGCTACTATATGAATTGGATTTACGTGTTTTACATATTTGGTAAGGATTTTCTTATTATTTAGAGTATAATCCATCCACTTTTCAGAAGCCATGGTATGTTGTGTTAGTTCCTCTTACATGAAACTTGAAATAACATTTAAAGACATGCTTGACATGGCAGGGAGCTAATTTTTCTCCTGGGAAGTTACAGTTCTTTAAGGCTAAGAAGATTCCTGAGGGTGGCTGTGTTAACTGTGCTTCCAATGAGCAAAGCTGTCTCTCAGTTGAACAAAAGCTGGTACAAATCAATGGTTCTCAGCTCTCCCACCATTGGGAAACAGCAGACTGTAATTTCTCATTTGAAGTGTGAAATCGAGTTAATAACTTTAATCCCAGGAACAAACTTCTAGTACAAAGGAAAGAACATCTAAAAAGTTCCTGCTGTTGTAATGCTGTTCCGTAAGAGGCTCAAACAGAAAATATTTTCTGATAGAATGTCACAGATCTAAGGGCAGCTTTTAATAGGTCTGTATGTGTATCTGAGCCGTTCCATCTTCTGGACGGGAAGGGAAGACTCAGAATGAAAGACAAGGATTACGTTTTCCTCAGCAAAGCCTCCTCTAATTTTTGTATAAATAAAAAAGCTCAGACCAGAAAATTAGAGGAAACAAAATAAATTGTAATGTTATATAAAAGTACAGTTGATTTGGACTGATTATTGACAAAGGTAAATTTTTCCTAACAATTCTGGGATTTCGTTTAAAAAAGGAAAGGGAAGCTTGGTACGCCAGTTAAGCTTTATTTAGCAGTATTTTGTGTGCATGTTCTCAGTATTTTTTATAATTGATTTTAATGTGACTTTTATTTCCTCTCCGAGAGACATATCTTCTGTGGTTGTTCCATGTGACTGATAAAAATACAATATGTATGTGTATGCAACTTTGTTGCTGTGTGAGGCATTTCTTAAAAAAAAACAAACAGAAAAAAACAAAGCCACAAAAAGCCCCCAGCTTCCTTCTTAGTTAGTTTTATTGTTTATTACCTCTAAATGTACGTACTTAAGCCACTTCTGGGAACTACTGTTTGTATGAAGATAGAATTTTTTCCAAATGCTCTAATATAATTTTAATGACCATTATTTCTCTAAGTAAATCATCTGGGAATGTTACTCAGTCAGTGTAATTGCTTTTATTTTTATTTCTCCTTCACCCATCTTTTCCCAACAATAGGTGCACTTGGAGTATTATGGTTCTTCTTCTGGATGTGGTTGGTTAGTGATACACCAGAAATTCACAGGAGCATTTCACATACCGAAAGAGAATATATACTTTCTTCTCTAAAAGATCAGGTATAGCGTTTTGGTATAGTCATCTAAGTAAGAACATAAACTGTAAATATTGGAGTCACCATAATGCTCAGTTGGTCTAGAAAAACATCCTTAATCTAAAGGATTAAACTAAAACTAAAAAAAATCCTTGAAATTTAAAAAAAAAAAAAAAACCCTGTATTATGTCTTTAAACTTTGTCAAACAACATTTTGTGCCTTTTTTCCTTGTGTATCTATCTACTAGAGTACAAAGGGAGAGAGACCGCTGTTAGCGAAGAAAGCATTTTGGAAATGCTCATGAGAAGATCCCTAAAGCATGCATAAGGGTTTATTCCTGTGATTGCGAATATGCATTTCTAACCTGTGAAGTTGGTTGAGAGATCAAAGCTAATACATGAGATTGAATAGCAAAGATTCAGCTCAATAAACACGTGAGGAGTGACTTTAATATTAAATTGCTGATAGTATAAAAAGGAGGCAACAAATCTCAACAAGGGAAGGCATGCTTTTTAAAACTGATTACAAAACATACTAGTCATTGGTTTACTTTGCGATAGTAAAGAGAAGAGTAACATACCTTAAGATGCCTTCAGTGAAAACTGACCACAGCAATTCCTTTATTGCAGATGACTTCATCTGTTGACATAGACTCATTCTGTGCCCTTCAGAATGAATAATCACCACTCATTTGACAGGGTCAAAATACTTGTAGTTAAATGTTCATTTTTATCTGCTGATCATTCTGTCTCTTCTTTTTCTCTCTGCCTCCCGTGTTTTAGCTTTCGACACAAAAATCAGTTCCCTGGAGACGGATACTGGAGTCCCTGCCGCTCTGGGCTATTGTTGTGGCACACTTTTCCTATAACTGGACTTTCTATACTCTTCTCACGCTCTTGCCCACGTACATGAAGGAGATCCTGCGGTTTGATGCACAAGAGGTGAGATAAATAAGAACAATATAGTCGCTTTGTTCTGACTTAAAGAAATGGAATAAGAAATGTGCCCTGCTGTTTAGAGTGGAGGAACTCATTTACAAACCTGGGAATGTAAATGTGCAGCTTGGAAATAGTAAATTAAATCCCCACAGCTGAAGGGATACATCTCAAATGTTGTCTGTGTTGTAATTTCCACAGGGTTTCAGGATCTATTTGATGTTTTTTGTCAACGCTAGCTTTCCAGCTCATTCTTCTGGCTGAATATGCATGCTACTTTATTTTAGATTACAGCAGTTAAAAAAAAAAAAAAACAGAACAAAACTGGAAGAACACTTTTTTCTGAGGACTAGACTAAACTTATCCACAGACCTTCTAAAGTCCAGAAATAGCGTTTTTCACGAAAGATGGAATTGCTCATCAGGAAAAAAATATCAGGGGAGAACGTTCTTATTTATAGCGATTACTTGGCTGTGCTGTTGCTTTTTCTTTAATGAGAAAGTTCCAGTGATAGCATAGTTTACCTGCATGAGCTGGTATAGCTTGAGTAAAAAGGTGCTCGGATGGAGATTTCAAGATGTTTAGCATAGGTTCCTGCCAGTTTAACACATGAGGTTGGTCTAGAGTAAACTGTTGAAGCACACCTTGCAAGAAAGAGGTGACGTTAGCAATCTTGGGAGGACTGGGAGGTGGGAACTAGAGTGCCAGAAGAGTAGGACATGCTACAAAATGGCTAGAAAAAAATAGCTGAAAGAACTTGCTTTTAAGGTTCCTCATAACGTCTCCCCAGAGGAGTACCTGCGTAACTGTCTATAAAGGTATTTGCTACCACAGCCCTGAATGCATTTTTCTGTAAAACACTATTGCATTAAATGCCAACAAGTTTTGCTGTGGAGTGGTTTCCTATGTCTCTGGGTTATATTTCGTCTTCTTTTTGGAGTGACTTCAAAGTACTGACTGTTGTGACACTTAAAAAAAAGAAAAATGCTTGCATAATAGTGTCGGACTAGCTTGTTGCCACACATTTAGTTGGGAATTGCATTAGCGTTTAAAATGTTATGCGGTAACAACTGTATAATCTACCAGTTTCCATTCTATAATAAAGGGAACAATTAAAAGTACTACTGCGTCTTTGAACATTGCTTCAAAATAAGATTTTTATTACTAAGACTGTCTTCTATTTTTCAAAAGTTTTCCTACTGCTTTTTAAAATTGAGCATTGAAACCCAACAGGCAGCACCTTTGCTGATAGAGTGGATTCTTGGGTGTGTTTTTATGCTCTCATTTCAAATTAAATGGCATAGGGAAGCTTTCTCTTCTTTCTTGACAAATCTGCATTTTATAATCGTACGTAAATGTTAAAACATTTCCGTCCAACTTCATCCACATACCTTTTAATCAGAGTTTAGGCAAATTATATTTAGCCATAGTCATGTGGAAAGGCTGGAAGCTTGTGCAGCAAGTACTTCTTGTTTCCCTTATCAGAAAAATGCAGAATAAAGCAGGAGTCACTAAACAACTATTACTTAAAGTAATGGGAGTTAGCATGTGACTTGAGTATACATAATGGCAGGTCCTAGATAATAGCTTTATTTTGGGATCATAAGACATACAGACTGGATCTGATGAAAGTCCTGGCTTATATGTGGTCTCTGATTATGGCCGGCCAGCATCAAGTGTTTCAGCACAGATGTGAGATAACATAATCTTGAAGAGTTATAGTAGTATAGACCCCTGAGACTCCATATAGCTTTCAAAATTTTAGGTAATACGAACAGCTTCCTCTTACGCTAGTAAATCACTTGATAGCCTGCTGTATTTGAAATGAGTGTTTTGTTTCTGGAATCTCACACGATCAGGTTAATGAACATGAAGTATCTTTATGTATAGTTTTCTTTTTCCAAAACCCAGTTGCTGATTTATACCTGTGAATTTTTTTTTGTATTTGCTGCATTGGTGCTTAAGGATTATGTCACTGATGTGTAAACTCTTCATTGCATAACTTTAGATTGCTTTGCCTTTTCTAGGCTCAGGTTTCTCTTGCAGTAAAACCAACAATAGTTATTTGGGTGGTCATGGCACCTCTGGTTCAGTCTGTCTTAACGCTCCAGCACAAATTATTTTGCAGCTCATTAAATTGCTGTTTCAGTGTTTTAACCATCTTTTTTTTTTCCCCCTCGTTAACAGAATGGTTTTTTATCTGCCCTACCTTATTTTGGCTGCTGGTTGTGTATAATTCTGTCTGGACAAATTGCTGACTACTTACGGGAAAAACAGAACTTGTCTACCGTTTGTGTTCGCAAATGTTTTACCCTAATAGGTAGGTGCAAGTATCTTCTTGGTTTGGAACGTACCATAGGGCCAGTCTGGGAAAAATTAAGACACTGGGAGAATAATGTGACATTTTGCTGCGAAATTCAGGAGGGTTGTGCATGGCTTGAGAGAAGCTGCTCTTCAGTAGTATTAGTTGTGCTGGGCTGTGGAAGTGGAACTAAAATGTTTGCATCAGCTTGCTGTGCTGGACATCTGGCATCATGTTATCTTCTAGTATTCCTCTGAACCCAAATGTCTTAAGCCTGGCTGGTACTTTTCTGACTGCCTTAGCTGAAAATTCTTTATGTTTCAATGTGTAGTGCTGGTGCTTTTTCTTCTCCTCTGCCCAGCTGTCAGGCCAAGAAGTTTTTAAGGGTCTTAGGCGTGTTTGGTTTTTCTTATTGTTGTTTTTTTGTTTTGTTTTTGACTCTTTTGTTTCCCTGACCAGTAGAGTACCATGTTAACAACTTAAGCTACAGCGTTTAGTTTTTTTACCTAAATAACAAGCAGGGGGAAGAAAATCCCTTTGTACGTATACCAAAATGCTAAGGAAAAATCATCTAACTGCACCATCCTGTATTAAGTAAAGAACAACAGTTACCTGAGAAACTGAGTTACTACAGATAAAACATGCGACTAAAGCAGCAGTTCCACAGATTGCTTTAACTTTACTTGAATCAAAGGATAAAATCTTTAAATGTGTTTAGATTTCCTTGAAAGTTAGTAAATTCCCTGTTTGAGGTCTGGTGCCCTTTTGCATGGTATGAGTACCATGCTCTAGGCTAGGGGGTGCCCCCCCCCCCCCAGATAATCCTGAGATGATTTTAGTCAGCCATCACCTGTGCCCAAGAAACTTATGTTTCCTATTTTATTTTTTGCACAGATCTGCACACTTGAGAACAAAAGCAAGTAGCTAATGAAACTGAATTGCAACCAGGAATTTTTAACTCTCAGTGATGTTAAGGGGCTTGAGGGGGGGGACACAATAATGAAATTCAAAGTTAGAAATGCAGAAATGTTCACGTGTTCTAAATTTTTTTTTTTAATCTCAGTCAGAGTGAGTGTAACGTTAAAAGGGATTGTTAAAGCTGTGGCTGTACCTTCTAAGAATAGCAAAGTGCCCTAGTTGAATAGAGGTTTGGACATACAGGTTTTGCTCTTAGTGCTGCCACTGGACTGCCTGCCTTAAGCAAGTCTTTTTATTACTCTTCAGTGCGATTTGCCCTCTTTTTATTACTCTTCAGTGCGATTTGCCCTCTTGGAAATGGAGAATATGCTGCTTCTCATTTTCT